AGCACCTGGTGCAGAAAGAGAGAGAGAGAGATTTATCATAAGACACTCCCCTTTCTGAGCTTGACCTGTTATACAATAGATTTCCACCTAACCCTTTTTTCTCTCCTGTCTAAATATATTTCAGTTTGATAAACTTTCCCATTACTGAACCCGAGCTTTGATAAACTTTACTGAACCCGAGCTCCATGCATAAAATATGAGACGATGCAAATCCAGCAGTGCACAAACGGCTTAGTCCTGGCTAAATATGTGTAAGTAAGGGCACATTTAGAACTGTGCACCACTGCATTTGTGTGCATGTTCAGGTTGCCTTCGGGGTTTTGTGACACGGACAGCGCTATGCAATTACCCAGTGCTCAGCCGTGGGAACGGATGTGCTTAGAGCAATCAATGCAATCTCTGCGACCACACGTACACATCCCTTAACTTTAGTCTTGATCTCTGGGTTCTGTATCTCTCTCTCAATGTGTGCTTCCAGGATTTTGCTCTCTCACAAAAATAGCACACTTGAGCCAACTGGTCATCATTAACCAAGAACCAAGCCTTTGGTTAAAAGAGTCTAGACCATAGATATGCACACCTAGATGCTGCATTGGGTCCAGCCAGGCACGTCAACGGCGCCGCCATTTTGGGACGGTCAACATCGCTGCTGGACTGCATTCAGTACCATTACAGAGCGGCAGTTTAAGAAAGATACTGTCCAAAATTACACTATTTTAAGAATATTACACTCAGAAAGAGGGATAGGATTATATAACGGAGGGGACGCAGTGATCCACACTCATGTCTGTGTGATGTGTATTGTTTGTGTGGTGTTTGTGTAGATATGTCCGTGTGGTTAATGAAGCATAGAGAACCTGTTGATGTGATTGTTTTTCCGCTGGTTTTATATTAAGCTTATTTCATTTAATAGTCTATTCAGGATCTTAACTTTATGTAGTAGTTATTTACTTACAATGATGGTTAAAGCTTTGTAGCTGGGTAAATTACAGCATTCCTTAATCCGTTTAGATATTCATAATAGATTAACGTCAGAACCTTCTTACACAAAGCTGAAGTTAGCTTCTTATTTGCCAGCTTCTTGTTCGAATTTTCCCGTTCCACCTTAAATGGTGCAGCTTCAGGCACCAGAAAGTGACTCCTGCACCATTTAAGGTGGAATGGGAAAACTCGAACAAGAAGCTGGCGAATAGGAAGAATAGGAATCTGTTCACAAGCGGATCTTGACCTCTCCAACATGGCGGACACGCAGACATATTGCCTCAGATAGAGAACAGCAGACAACGTGGCATCTAGGAATGGATATGGTCTAGACACACACTAGCTCTTTCTCAGGATGTCCCCCGGTGTGATGTTCCTCAGATGTACTCACCAAACCTCATGTACTTACGCATAGTTTTGAACCCAGACTTGGCTCGAAACACCCTGGAACGCACTCCAGATGGCTGTGGAGGTCTAAGGTTGTGAAGGGGCCACACGGCGACTCATTTCAGGGGGCGTCCGAGTTCAGCTCTATTATGGGCTTTTTATGACAAGATGCTTTGAGAAAGCGCCGGAGCACTGACCCAAAATAACACGGTGAAGTCTGTCTGCGAATGCATCATCCGCATCACATTAACAGGATGCCACAGATGGTGCCCATGAGTTCGCTTCATCCCTCCCTTGTCTCTCTCATTCTCTCACACACACGCTTCCCCCTATGAAACCATCAGCTCTGTTGACCCAGGCTCAGCACCAAGCCATTATAACATTACTTTAAAGCAGGTTCGATACTTTCTTACTGATATCTAAGAGCGCGAAGCCTTTCAGACACGACAGAGTTCAATAGAATTGACATCCAGAATCGTTGGCGCATGAGGCAAAAGATTGATCTTAGTTTATCCTTTGTCCTACTGCTCTGACCACAACCAGGCCGTGGTGTTGGTGCTCTGCAGAACACAGTGTTCTCCTCCTGATCGGTGCTGCTAGACATCCTTACTTATACATCTGTGTCTAAATGACTCATAATGTTCCCTCCTCAGACACAAACCATGTTTACTTGTGAGCTTGCTCCTCTTTTCTTGAGGTGTTCTGTGTATCTTTTCTATTTTGTTCTTTCATTTTCAGCAGCGTGGACTGTAATTTGCTTTCTAATTCAGTTTAAATCAGGATTCACGCCCCTTCTAATCACTTACGCAAGTCTAATCACGGTCATTTCATAGTTATTTATTTTATGCCCGTCGTGTGAGGACCATTAGCAGTCTCCTGCCACCGACTCGCAAACGAATCATTCTTTCGAACAGGCTCTTTAAGGAGCCGATTCACTGATCCAACGGAATCAAACTTTTTGCTCCATCTATGCTGCTCAGTGTTTACATCTGTTTTATATGCTGGAGACTCCTAATAAAAATGGAAAAAGTCTTTCACAATTTAATCTCGTAAAGGGATGGGGAATAAAGGAAAGTCGGAATCCAGGCCGGTGTGTTTAGTTCTCTGCCCGTCGACTGTAATTTGGTTCTAATTCAGTTTAAATCAGGATTCACGCCCCTTCTGTTCACTTAGAAGTTTCATAGTTATTTGTTTGATGCCCGTCGTGTGAGGACCATTAGCAGTCTCCTGCCACCGACTCGCAAACGAATCATTCTTTCAAACCGGCTCTTTAAGGTCATTCAGAGGAGCCGATTCACTGATTCAACTGAATCAAACTCCATCTATGCTGCTCAGTGTTTACATCTGCTTCATATACTGGAGATTCCTAATAAAAATGGAAAAGTCTTTCGCGATTTAATCTCATAAAGGGGTCCGGAATCCAGCCCGGTTTGTTTAGTTCTCTGCTCTGGTGTGTATTTTAATATAGCATTAAACATCAGCAAATCAGTTCCTCGCCACAGCATAGATTCATATTCACTCGCTGAACCGAACATGGAGGGGTAGGTGAGGATGAAGCGGACTGGACTTGTGAATCAGTGAACAGTTGAATGGCAGTTGAATTGATCGCCGTCTCGGAAGAATCGGTTCGCCAAACGGAATCGAGTCCGTCACTACCTGCTGTGCTTTTTTCGGCGCGCTCACCTCCTACCACGCCGGCGCGCGTCACTGCCTACGCCAGCAGCCCGTCTGCCTATTGGCCGCCCACGTGCGCTCGCGCGCGCTCCGCTCAGCTCGTTCACGCCCTTTTCATTCATTGCTCGCGCCGGCGGAGCCTCAGTTCGCAGCCACTTTTTCTAAGCGCCTCTCGGAATAAGCACTGTGTCCTCAGCATGCTGCAATACGAAGGTAGGAAACTCTAATCTGAGCGGGTAAAACGGCTTTTTTCTGTCTCCAGAACTTCCATTTACGCTCCTTTGAAGTCTCCAGTGTTGATTTAACGTCCGCGGTGCTGATTTGAGAGATCTGAAAGCAGCGTAAATGGCTTTTACAACCAATGTAAACACAGTCGATGGCTGGCTGGCTGCTCTGGACTGACTGACTGGCTTCATTCCGGCTGTGAAGATATGAACATGGGTTATTATGTAGTTTTCAGGTTCTTGTTTGACGCTATCCAGTTCTGTTGATTGTCTCTGACAGTTTTACTGAGTGAACATTCTGTCACTTTAACCCTTTCAACTCCTTGAGACCTCCGGTGGTTCCAAAACTCACCTCGTCATATTCTTCATAACTTTCATATTTCATAAGCTACATTCTAAAGGTGGGGGTCGTATGAGAGCTGTAACTGTCTTCTCTCCAGTCAAATAGATGGGTGATGTAATTTTAAACCCTTATAATGAAAGAAGCTGAACTCACAGTTTTTTATTCTACTGAAAGTCGAATAAAACCTGAAAATTTTTCCACAAGTCCGGGCTATAAACTATAAACAGATGGCATCTCTTCAGTGATCTGCTCTGTAAACATTATTTTTATAAAATAATACAAAGAGCGTCTCAGATTTTTGGCTTTCAGCAGTAAATTGTAAGCATATAGGAATATGTGTATCATAAAACACATGTTCTGTTAATCTGAGGGGAGCTTTTACAAAAAATAAATAAATAAAATAAAAATAGAAATTTATTTTGTGCAGAATAATTTGCCTTATGATTTGCTCATGTAAACTCAGATGGACAAACCAAAATATACCCTGGTGAATAAGAGGTTAAACTAGCTTTAAAATTGCACTAATAGTAAACTGCTCAGTCAGTTTAGAAACAAATATACTGGACATTTTAAAATGCTGGCAATATTTAAATAGTTAATTACTTAAATGTTAACAATTTTTTACCATACTTCATGTTGTTTCTGTTTAGATTGCCATTTATATTTTCTCTTAAAACCTGCTCTACCATACTGATGCATTAGAAAAGCAGTGCAATGGGGCCGAGTGGAAAAGATGAACCGTTTATGAATCAGTAGGTGTTATAGAGGAATCTGAGGTGCTGTTATGGTGTATAAGGTGCTGTTGGACGATGTCCTACTTGAAGTGGTAGGTGGGCTGTGTGTGGTATGAAGTGTGGGGGAGTCTGTTCATAGACTGTTGTGTAGTACAGGTCGTGTTTATGTCAACAGGGAATGGCAGGCATGGATTTGCAGATTTGAGTGTGGGAAGAGCTGTATCTGTGTGGGCGATGCCTCCTTTTCCACCTACTCCTCATATATATATGGCTGCTGTCAGAACAAACCTCATATCTCCATTTTTGTCATTCTCCAGTTTACGGCATAATTTAAAAGTGGCTTGGAAAAATGTCTGGTTCCATTGACTGACATTAAAAGTAAAGCACATTTTGGAGATACAAGGTTTTGTTCTGACAACAGCGATGTGGACGGTTTCTTGCAGCCTTGCAGATTTCTTGAAATCTACTGGACGTTTAGGTCTGGATTAGGTCTAGTCCTGGACTACATGTGAGTGAAGATTTTCCATTGAAAGGAAAATATGGCCCATGCCTAGGCTTAATCCCTGTCTGGGAAACTAGCCCTTAGTGTACATCTGTAGTTTAAGCTTTTCTTTCATGTTCTGGTTTGTCACCAATGCTTTTCTCATTTGCTCCTAGTAAACGGGACCCCAGCCAGCCAGCTGTCCACGCCCCACTCCATGAAGTCACCCAGCCCCTCCCCTACCAGTCCAGGGAGTCTCAAGAAGCGCAAGGTAAGGCTCTCATAATCGCACCGACACACAACACATGCTCAGATATATATATGTAGCTCAGAGAGCTTAGATCCCAGTTCATGTTCATCTCTCCAGTCCCCATTACTGTAGACAGCTTCCCCCATTCCAGACCTCAGTAACGCAATCCTTCTGTTCTCCAGGAAAAGGACAAGGCAGGCACTGAAAGCACAGCATAACCCCCACCCCCCACCCCCACTCATTCGTTCTGAGAGGAGCTTGCAATGAGGAAGACCCACTGAATAATCCCGCAATCCTTAGCGTGTGGGGTTTGGTGCGACTCTCGTGGACGCTGACGCATGCTCTGTCTCACTCGTTTGGCCATCAGAGCCATGTGTGAAAACCCAGCAGATTGGCCCATGGAGAATGACCTCTGCCTTTAGTAGTTTTCAAATCATTGACATTGACATGCAGACATGTGGTGGTAGTGCTAGAGCTTAAATCAGGCTGATGAACGAGCATGCAACTCAGCAGGCCTTATACGTTTCCAGCAGCCGCACTTTCTCCTCTGATTTTGGAGACTGTGTGTGTGTATTTGTCAGTGGCGTCTCTACATTAGGGTGCCCCATCAGATGATCACGACATGATCAATAATTCAGTATAACAACTAATATATATATATATCTTTTTCTTCATAACTAACATTGTTGTGCATTTATTACATATGACAGTGGTAGGGCTGTCCAATACATCCCATATATCTTCCTGTACCTGTTGTGTAAAAGCCAGTAGGCTCCCTATTTCTCCTATCAGTCTTCGTTTGGTGAGCGTGGGGCTCGTCAGCGCTCGTCTAACCAAGTGAGCCGTTAAAAAAACTCTGCGCTTGTTCAACACGCTTTCAATAACCAGCTGTGGGCCCGATCATGTTGGCCCCCTGCTGAGAGCAGCCAATAAAAAATAATGCATTTACATACGTCCAGACGTTCAGTAAACGGTGTTTACAGTATGGGCGTCGCTACGCAGCTAGTCATAGTTCCACATCGGTTGTGGTAGCCGCTCATAATAGCAAGGCAATATAATGAGTCAAGTTGAAAATGTAATAAAAGTTAAATTTGCCAGCCGTTAGAGCAGAAATTAGAGATTAAACGTTTGGGATACACTAGAAGATTTCAACACCATTCAGTCTGGAAAGGACAAAAACTGGTCCTTCAGTCCAGAGAGGTTCAAGAGAAAAACATGGCTAACTGTGAGTGTACCTAAAACACTCTTCTGCTTTCCTTGCCTGCCCTTGCTATGCTATCTCTTGAATTCGTTCAGGGATTGGTGGACTTTGAGAGAAGTTTTTAACAAGTTTGCCCAGATGAAGATCGTCGTGCATCTTTTCTTTTCGAGTACTGAACGCGCATCCTGCACCACATTACGTTAATTTGTGAATGTGTGATTTCATTGATGGATTTAGTTAAGTCAGGTTTTGTGAGTCGCTGCTGCCCCTACAGTTTATTGTGCCCCGCCAGGCTTTCTGTGCCAGAGACACCACTGGTGTTTGTGTGCAGGGCTAATGATGTGTGTGACCACATCAAAGTGTTCCCAATCCTGTTGCTTCTGCCGATAATGAGGAAGCAAGTCTACGGACAAACAAGACTTGTCACCAACTCTTTAATTGGTGTGAGCTGTAAGCCTCTCCCTGATTACTGCTTATTGTCTCTCTGTCTGTCTGGCTGCCTCTTTCTCTGTGTCCCTCTCTGTTCTTCCTCCATTACTGCAGCCAAAGAGCTGAAACTCGTGTAGATTTCCCACTGGGAGCTCAAGCCTGGCTAGTGCCAGGTTTACTCTCAGACGCTTCAGCTTTGGCTGTGTAGCTGGAGTGTGGTGGGGTAAAGCTTGCCAATTGAGTCGCGTGCTAGTATTGAACTCGGATGGATTAATTGGAGGCTGACCGCTCCAGGCGGAATGGAGGGCATCTCTGACCTGGAATGGGTTTCACGTGCTGTGGGCTCATGTCAGGACACAAGTGTGGGCAATGCTGGTCCAACACGGTGTCAAGATCTCTGTCTTCTCTTGAGTTGCCCAAATACAGGGTGATTGAAAAAGATTCATCCGATTTCAAAATGATTTATTTCACGTAAATCATTACAGATCAATGCAGTAAACTGTAAATGGTTTAACTGAGCATAAAGTTTATTATGTAATTGTACAAGGTCTCAGTATGAACCTCCTCCAGCTGTACAGACAACATCAACACCATAGTCAAACTCATCCCATACTGGATTGAGCATGTCGGGTGTTGCTGCACTCACGGCTCTTTCAGTGCGATTTCGGAGATCATCCAGTGTTGTGGAACCAACGACGAACGCTCTGAGCTGTTGGAGCTTCACTGCCCACAAAACCACACTGTTATGACGGATTCACTCTTATTGAAGTGGAGAACACAGAACGCTTTCTGCTCAGGGGTCTCATCTCCTCTCAGACTGAAGGGAGCCATCTTCCACTGACGGCCAGAAACTCTATGACCCCCTCTTTCAATTGGATTGTGATTGGTTCCTAGGCGCCTCACGGTTGTAAAAATACTGCGCTTTGAAATTGGATTAATCTTTTTGAATCACCCTGTGTTAGGGAAAGTACGCTCTAAAAAAATCCACCCATAATACTTCTGATCTACACTCTTAAAAGTTAAGCTTTATTTTTTTGGAGTGATGCCATAGAAGAACCACATTTGGTTGGAGTTTTTTGAAGAATCATCCATTAAAAGGTGTTTTACCAGCATCACACCAAACAACTCTTTTTACCACCCTTATTTTAAGAAAGTATATCCAAAGTATTTTCAAGAACACTTAGGATGTAGAATTTGTTGCTCTGTGAATGAGACACAATCCAGTTGTCCCAAAAGAACCCGGCTAAGCCAATCAGTGTGTTCCTTCAGCGACAGAAACACAGTGCTCTTTGAGTTCACCCCCCCCCCTTCAGTTTGTCACTGAAGTATTTCATATTCTCCACACGTTTCCCCACCATTTCTGTGATCGCTGGAAGAGTGCTCGAAGCAGAATGATCTCGCTGTGCTTTGATCGGGGAGGATTGCTTTGCTCTCCTCGCAGTTTGCCGCCTCTCCAGAGGAGAATTTGGGGCAGACTGATGATCGGCTCCGTAGTGAGGAGGAATCATGATGTCTTCACAACCATCTGCCACATAAGTGGGTCACGCCATGGAAAAAAACCCTCCTTTTTCTGTGAATGGGGAAAAGGAACGCGGAAAGCACTCTTGCATAAACACGAAGTTTGAGTGGCACTCCGGCACTGAATGTTCCTGTTTTCCTCTTTGTCTTTAATGAGTTAGACGGCAGCTAGCTGAGGATGACATGAAGAGCCCGAAGTGTTCCACAGTCTCTGAGATTCATTCTCGGTGTTCCATCTGATAGCTGTTTGGAGAGCGCTTCTTAATTTAATTCATGAAATAGTAGTACATTGTGTTCATCTCTCATGACTTTGGCCCAATCCCATTTCACCACTCGCCCCTACCACTTACCCCTCTGTTTTGCGCGTTCACGTCTAGGGTTAGGGTGTCCCAGTTCTTTTTGAGATAAAGGGGTACGGTGAAGTGTTCTGGCTTCATGGCCCTCCAAACAGAGAGTTATGAGAAAAAAAGAAAAACCGGCAAGATGGCTGCACAAGAGATCAAAGAAACCCACAAATGTGAGGATTTTCGTTAAAAAATTACGATATCCACTGTATTATCTTAGTTTAATGTCGTTTCAGTGTATTTTGGTCGTTTTCTTCATAACAAGCATAAAAAATCACTAATAGCATGCTAATGTCTTGGTAGCTTGCCAGCTAACTTTCCTGTTCCACCTTAAATAGTCCAGCAGTTCTGACGCCTGAAGCGCCAGAATGTAACTGCTGCACCAATTAAGGTGGAACAGGAAAATCTGAACAAGAATCTGGTGAACATCTGACTTCAGCTTCATATCACTGAAGAATTAGGGGTGGGTGATAATAAATAATTGCACCCCTCTTTGAAGTCATAAGATGCCCTAAATGTAACTAAAGCCCAGCAGTGAGGAGCTGAACTTTACCCTCCTCTGCTGTCACTGCAGACTGGCAGGGTCGCCTACAGAGCAGCGCTGGTAGCTGTTAATGAAGTGATGCTCTTTTTATTTGAGGGTCCCATTTCAGAGGGAAGATTAACCACTACTCTGTAACTCAGTTCCAAGGGGTTAGGGTGACACTCAAAAACAAGGGGTAGGGGTAAAAAGAAGAAATGGGACTGGGCCTTTTTCATGCCTGTATGTTTCATGTCCTCCACAGCTCTTCAGTAGCTATGCACAGATATACCGCCTTTGTGTGCATATCCAAAATTTATATTGGAGCTCGTGTTATTTCTGCTTTCTGAGCCAACATTCAGTTTAGCTTGAGCACTGAATGTTTCAAACACATCATTATCCTTTGTGCATGGTTGATCACTCTTACGGCCCGGCTGGGCACGGCTTTCGCCGATGTACATAGCATGACCTACTTTTCAAAATTACACAAGAACGGCAGCTTAAGACGGTTTCTTTAGCTGCTGTGTCCTTAGGGCACCTTCCTCCCCTCATATCTTTCTCTCTAAACCCCTCTGCTCTATTCACCTAGAATATGGGGCAGCCATGCATTTTCCGTTAATGCGAGCGACACTTGTAAATCCAAACCCTTCAGTGTGCATGATTTGTTTATAATAATCGGTCTCGGTTTGGCGAGCGCCCCTGTTTGCAGTGATGCCTTGTCACGAATGAGGTTAAACAGCTTGGCAGAATAGATGCTGCCTGGTTCTACTGGATTCATACCCATAAATGTGAGGATAGAGTTTCTGTGAAGATGGACAGAGAATGCTAGTGAGAGAATAGACTTTATTTCTCTTGCGTTTATGATCAGATATCAGCTGTAGTGATGTCACTTCCTGTTCCACGAGTCAGCCATTCAGTATCTTTCTTTCATGTCTTCTCACCGTCCTGTCAGTCAAACCATGGTCCAGCTTCATCAACCACGCTGTCTGTTGAGTTGCATGCTCTTCTCATTCTCACATCTGTGTTTGCTTGTCATTCATTTCATAGTACTTGAATGTAAAAATTGTCATTCGTTCATTTTTAATTGAAACATTTATGTGTTTTTCTTTTTTTCTTTTTTTTTTTTAAATACATGTGCACATTTGTCATCCAGCTGTATCATCTGTCATATGTAAATAGATTTGCATGTATGTATTTATGGTTTTTATGAATCCGTTACCATCATGAGCAACATGGCACCTCATCTCTTTTCCTTTCGCATCACAGTGCGGTCTCCATTTGCTTATTTCTCTCCTTTCCTTTTGCAATCACTCATGTTTGACTTGAAATTTGAAGGTTTGTCTCTTTTTTTATGCATTTTGTCTTTGTTTTCATTTCTCTCGCTTTTTCATCAGTGCAGACATTTAAATCGTGTACTCTGCCACATCATTCATGCCCCATTAGACAGAATCTCAGATCTTAGCCCTGCCATTCCGTTCCATCTACTGTTTATTGCATTTTGATTTTGTTTAGTGAAAATGAGTGTAACATGCTGGATGTATTAAACGTAATGTATGTATATTGGTTTATATCTTTTCCTCTCTTTGCATTATCTGTTGTTTTGGGTGTTTCTAAGTTGGACTAGTTTTTTTTTTCACCTCTACTTACAGAACTCTAATCTGGGTCACTGTTGCGCTCGTGCCGCTTGTGCTGCTCCTCACGTTCTTCTCCCAGAGTGCACAGGGAAACTACTTATTAGAACGTTTTTGTAGCTGGCTCAGGTCTTGTGGCTTATCCTAAAAACAGATTACCGCCACAATGCCAATAGTCTCAATATTAGATCATAAAGCTCGAGGCAGATTAGTGCGTCGGGGAGATTTTGAGATGCCAGCTGCCTTATTTGTTCAGATCATCCTATGGACGTTCATTTCTTTCCTGTGAAAGATCTGAACCCCCCCCCCGAAACAAGAATGGGATTATTAAGATCATGCTCAGTTAAACAGTGTCGAGTCTTAAGCGAAAGCTTAAGTCTCTGGCTGTAATTTGGTGAGGTATGCTGGAAGCAGTGCACGGATTATAGATGGGGGAAAAATACTCGGTATAAAATAAATCATCCCTTAAGAGGTTTTAGCCCTTCCACTGTTGTAACCTTGAATGTCCTCCTACAGAGAGTTGAAGCAGACACGTTTTGTCTCCTTCGTCCAGTCGATACGGGGAACTCCCCTCCCGTTTCCCTTCCTGACCTGTATTGTTTAGCGCTGCTTGATGTGCTGCTCCTTTATTTCGGTTTCAGTGTTGTTAACTCGAATGTAAGCAAAGCGTGAAGCTGGAAGAGCATCAGTGGCTTCTTTCATAATGCCCAGATCCAGCTCACCATTGGCCCACGGAGGCGCAGGAAATCATCGTATTTGGACAGCGGAGAAGTGGCCTCGCATCCGAGCAGGAAACAGGAAATTGCTTTGTATGGGCCTTGTACTGCACCCTGTCTCGCACAGGAAAAATATTACTAGAGCTGCCGCTCATTCCGAGAGGCCAGCAGTTTCCATGGTAACAGAGTTGTGTTGCCATCACTACGGCCTGGGATGTGAATGAAATGGATGTGAGTGCAATATTAAGAGCGACTGACATGCATTCGCACACATGCACTCACTTTTCACTCCCTGGTGGTTTCGGTGCCTTTGTTATTGAAGCCACACCCAAAGCAACAGCAACAAACACAGCCTAGGTGATACCGAACCGACTGGTCTTGATTTGCGTTTCTTTTTCGCAGATTCATTCGTAAGTCAGATTCACGTGTCCGCACATGTGTACTCGTCAGTCAGGCCCCAACCAGGTCACTCCCATCCACATGTACCGTCCAAATCCAGGCCCACGGCTCTCCCAGTGGCCAGACAAGTCCAGTGCAGAACATCCAGCTCTAATTACTCTCAGCGATGACCCGAAGGGGTCCCTCTGCTTCGAGCAGACGAGCCAGAGGAAAAAAAACAATTTGCAACTCAGCTGGCATCTCTTCCCTCCCTCCCTCTCTCTCTCTATATCTCTCTAAAACTGCTGTCATGGCAACCAGCCCCGAGGAAGCCAAGGGGCTTTGCCTTAGCCTTAGTGTTGCATCCGGAATTTAAAGGTGAGAAGAGCTGTTGTGCTGGAGGTGTGAATGTGGCCAGCGGTCCCGTTTGGGGAGGGGAGGTGCTGAGAGGTCGAGTTAGGACGCCCCAACCTCAGAGGAGAGACGATAAGCTGAAAAGAGTGTATGTCAAACCTGTTTACAGGACCATCATCATCATCATCATCATCGCCCCTGTCATTTCTCCCTGTCTAACAGCACTTGCTGAAGTGATTTGTGAGTGAATTCTTGGCTGCTCTGTTTCTCTCAGGGTTCAGAACAGGGCGGCTCCTCCGTCTCGCTGGCCTCCACCAAGGTGTGCAGCCTGGATGAGGGTGAAGGGCCCGTCGGCGATGGTGAGAGACGGGACAGTTCTACATCAGCACCTGACTCTGATTACACAACACTGCAGTTTTCTGACATTTTGCATGATAAAAGCTTTCAGAATATGCTGAGGTTAGGAGAAAAAATACATTAAAAGAAAAAGCTTTCACCCTAAGGGGGCTCTTCAGGTTCTTTCAAAAGGGTCCTTTTAACCGCAGTCTAAAAATGACTGCTTTTATGTTATTTCTTCTCTCAACTTAAGACAGCTGCCTTGCAAGTGCACAATGACACAATACGGTTTAAATGCAAACCATTGCCATTTGCAAGTCTTTGATATGTAATCTCATCTGCCATGAAGGGTCATTATAGAATAAGGCTCATTGCCAATTCTGTATGGGAGAAGGGCTGAGTGAAGTATATGTGAGTCCTCATGTCTCTCTTTCTCTTCTGATCAGCTGAGCCCGTAGAGGAGAGCACAGCCCCTGCAGTCCCAGCCTCCATCTCTGACCGCTACAGGGTGGGCCGTATGATCGGCGATGGCAACTTTGCAGTAGTGCACGAGTGCGTAGAACGCTCCACGGGCCGGGCGTACGCCCTAAAGATCATCAACAAGGGCAAATGCAGAGGGAAGGTGAGTAGGAGACCCTATTTTACAGATTATGTATCTGCAATAAAGTCCCTTTTTGGTTTCATTGCCAGTGTCTTGCATCTCAAGCTTTCTTCAAACCTGAACATTAAATTCCTTCTTCTCTGTGAACCTTCTGCCAGGAGCAAATGATCCAGAACGAGGTGGCTATCCTGCGGAGAGTCAAGCACCCTAACATTGTCCTGCTGATTGAGGAAATGGACACCTACAGTGAGCTCTACCTGGTCATGGAGCTGGTCAAGGTGTGCAAGCACAGCTTTGTTCTCCTAATTATGAGGCTGGCGTCGTTTATGCCTTTGATAGGAAAAGGAGGACTTGGTTCAGATGTAATGCCAGATGATATATAATGATTTTTATAGATGTTGGACACTTTGACCCAGTCCCATTTCTTATTTTTACCCCTACACCTTGTTTTCGAGTGTCACTCTAACCCCTTGGAACTGAGTTACAGGGTAGTGGTTGAACTCTTCCCTCTGAAATGGGACCCTCAAATAAAAAGAGCATCACTTCATTAACAGCTACCAGCGCTGCTCTGTAGGCGACCCTGCCAGTCTGCAGTGACAGCAGAGGAGGGTAAAGTTCAGCTCCTCACTGCTGGGCTTTAGTGACATTTAGGGCATCATATGCCTTCAAAGAATGGAAGAACTAGCTTCTTGTTTGAATTTTTTAAATGGACTATTTAAGGTGGAACGGTAAATTTACCTAGCTAGCTGCCAAGACATCAGCTACTACTAGAGACTAGGAGTCTCTGAAAAACCTCCGTTTGGAGGGCCATGTAGCCCCAACACTTCGCCCCTCTGTCTCAACAAAAATCAGGACACCCTACCCCTAGATGTGAACACATTAAACGGAAGGATAAGAGCTAAGTGGTAGGGGCGAGGGGTGAAATGGGATTGGGCCTTTAACTCTTATGCTGGCAGCAGTTAGTTCCCAGGTTTATGCTGCAAAAATATCTTGGCGAGTGAAATCATTTTAAATGTTGTCACTATCTACTGTATCTCTATTTAAGATTGATTATGTAAATGAATTCTAGACTTTTTTTTCCTAGTTTTAAGTCATTTTATTTATGATATCGTCTTATTCTATTGGCAGATTATTTACCTGCCTCGTGTTTTGAAACAAGCAAAACTATCTGCCAACAGAATCAAGACAATTTCACTAGATAAAAATGTCGCAAATCTCAAAATGAGAAATATTAGATATATTGACTAAATTTGAGATGTTTTCTCTTGCCAGTGTATCTTTTTTTGCAGTGGTAGATAGGCTGTCTGAGCAGGAAAATCACCAAGCTCTGGACTTTGGCCCTCCAGCCTGGAACTGGACACATCTACTACAGTGTCCATCCTTTGGTCCACGTCCAAAGTGGAAGCTCAGAGAGGGAAGGGAGCACAGAGACATCTTAGAGGAAGTTGTGTTTGATGTCTCGTTTTATTCAGTGGCTGCTGTGTACAGTAGCTAGCTCAGTCCAGCTGAGCTCTATATTAAGCCGCTGCTCCACTTAGCCGCCTCAGTGAGGGGATTTCGGCTTCTGCCACACCAGAGGCAAACCAGGCCACTGTAAACTTTCAGCTCACATTATTTACCATCAGCACAATTTCCAGAAAGCTGCTGTGAAGTAGAAACGAATGACCTTCATGCACGTGTGTTTACTGTAGTCTCTAGGCTGTTGAGTTGAAGCACGAGGTTTCTGGGTTAATTAGCTTCCAGTTCTTTTTTTTGTCTGAATCTGTAGACATCTGGAAGACCTTGTAGACATCGGTATTTATTGTGCTGTTGTGTCTTGCTTGTCCACAGGGGGGCGACCTCTTCGATGCTATTACCTCGGCTACCAGATACACAGAGAGGGATGCCAGCGGCATGCTCTATAACCTGGCCAACGCCATTAAATATCTACATAGCCTTAACATCGTCCACAGAGACATCAAGCCAGAGAACCTTTTGGTAAGAGCATTATTTGTGTCTTTGGGACTTTTTGGATGCATGTTTGATTAATGTCTCCTCTGCCCTTTCATACACTTATTAATTTAGTAGAGCATTCATTAAATCCCATTTTTGATATTTGAACCAGCATGTGTGAAGGTGAGATCCTATGAGCTAATACCAGTCGCTGCATCCATGCTCCGCCCACAAAGGCATTCTTTAAAAGCAGCTGTTGCAAAGTTCAACAAGCTTTACAACCTAATTAATTTAGTTTTAGGGGTTTCCAGATTAAAATGCTACGCTACAAAGTTGGACTGTGTTGTTGTGGCTAATCGAAACTAGACGACAAAAGACGACAAATTTACTTCCATGCTGCTGTTAGCTCGATCGCATGACATAAACTACATCCAACTGCGTGACCGTTCACTTGCATACAAATTAAATATAATTTTAAAGCAATAGAGCGCTCTCACTTTCCATATTTTTTCATAACTCAGTTCTGTGCTTACATTTCTCATTAGCAGGGCCGTAACTCGGATCAGGATTTTAGTGAATTTTGCAGAAATTTGACCTACATCTCATAGTGAATAAAATTACTGCCAAAAATGAATCAATCTTGAATAATTTTTTACCCATCCATAACTGTTATGCACCTTTCCTTCCTTCCTGCCATATTATAAACAGTCGAAACTAAAAAAAGGAGTTTAGGCCATTTTACAATATGTGTTAATTGTACTCATAAACATTTAGCTAGCTACCTTACATTAGCATGAGTGCTGCATACCTGAAAATCTTAAGAAGTTACTCTTAAACGTTAAGTCTTATACAGAGCGGGCAGTCAAGTTTATGGCTGAACCACAGCGGTTCTGAGGTCAGCCAAGAACCAGTCGCTACTCATTGGGTAGTTACGTCGCATTTTTCCCCACACTAAATCTTATAAAACCCTTCAGAAACTTACGAGGACCTCCGTGTCCTAACGTGAGTTACGAACATGACCGGTGCTGATTACTAAAGCAGTTTTGGATAACAACGATTGCTAAGCTGTTACTGGAGGGTTGAGGAAAACAAGGAGCAGCCTGACAGATTTTGGTTAGCCAAAATAAGTGAGTGACCCTTTTTAGTCCCACAGCGAGGAAATTTCACCTCTGCACTTAACCCACGCAGTGAAACACCACATACACACTAGTGAACACACACACTAGGGGGCAGTGAGCACACCTGCCTGGAGCGGTGGGCAGCCCTATCCGCAGTGCCTGGGGAGCAGTTGGGGGTTAGGTGTCTTGCTCAAGGGCACTTCAGTCACGTACTGTCGGCTCAGGGGATCGAACTGGCGACCTTCTGGTCACAGGGCTGGTTCCCTAACCTCCAGCCCACGACTGCCCTCAGTGACTGCAACAAACTCCTCATAACGGCCCTGTTTTTACATTTAATCTCAAGAAAGGTAAAAAAAGCTGGAAAAAGTCTTTGGGGAAGGATCCTAATAGCTGGTTACGGCCATCCTCGTTAGGTTGAATGTAATTTTTGTCAGCGTTCTGTAAGCGTATTTGGGGCGGAGCCTGGATAGAACAATTCCTTTAGCACATCAGGATATGAACTTCATTCTGTTTTATGTTCCATTATGTGATTTCATAACAGCCACCTCATACTGTCTAATAGCAGCCATGCCTCCACACGTGTGTACTTCACCTCTGAAGCCTCCCTGCAGAGTTTGTGGGCTGGAGCTGAGCGGAAAGAAAGAGACAGACAGTGAGAGAGAGAGAGGGAGAGAGAGAGAGAGAGAGAGAAATGAAGGCAGTTAGCTGACTCTTTGACTCACTCCCTGCCAGCTTGCCTGCCTCTTTCTCCCTGAGCCTGAATGTGTGATATCACATTCACAGAGGAGGAAGTGAGACATGACTCACACGCCGACAGTTACCATACTGTACCCTGCTCAAAGGCTAAATCGCTCCAGCCACACGTCACTACAACACCAGCATCATCATGTGGACTGTGTGTACCCTTTCCACAGCAACCAGCCCGCCTGGGATGATGATTAAGAGAGAGGGGCCATTACTTAAGTGCGCTCCCGATGAAACATCATTCACAAAACGCCTCTACACAGCTCCATTATGCTCAAATGAGCAACATGACTGGCAAAACGATTAGCAATCCTTTATTACCCAAGCCGGGAACTATTATGGTCAATTAATGTAGCATCACATCTAAAGCCGGTACCGCTTCAAGCTCTTTTGTATTCACGACCTGTCTTCTACTGCTGCAGACTTTCCTTGAGCAGTATAAGTTGAATGTTTGGACGCATCTAAGAAAAATATAAATGAACTGAACCAGGGGCCGTATTACAGAAAATCCTTAAGTCTGAGATCATATCTTATCTGCTTTGTTGTCATGGCAACTTCAGTTAAGTCTGAAGTTAGGACAGAAGCCAGTTCAGAACAACAGTTCTTAAGTCTACAATCTTATTTACAGATAAGAAAACGGTTTTACAGAAACATCCTAAGTTGCCAAAATATCCTAAATATTTTCTTAACTTTAAGATAAACCCCAGAGCGTCTTAACTTCTGTTTACCCGTCTGTTTCTATTGTTTTATGCAGTGATGGGCAGCACAGTTCACTATCAGTAGCATAATGACGCTAATTTATCTACACCGAAAACGATGATAAAAACTCGTCAGATACAATGTTACAGTGATGGTGGTGAATAATGAGGAGACGGAGCTGAACGTGTGTCTGTTTATTAGGAGAAGTAACGTTAGCGCGCTCGGCTAAAGCGTTTGGGAAATGGAGACTGAAACTGGGGAGTGGCGACTCTGATGAAACAGCAGGGGGCGCTGAAACGATATTCTTAACTCTCAGTTTATCACGCTTTAGTATTATTTGACCTTTTCTTTACCTCTGTAATGGTAGCTAATGTTAGCTGTCTGGCTAACTAACTTGATTACGTGTTTACGTTTCAGCTGTGAGCATTTGGTTGGTTGCTAGGTAACAGACACAACAGTAGATTGTCGACTTCAATCGAGAAAGTTACAATTTCCTAATTTAAGATAAGATTCTTAAATTAAGATCAGATTTGCTTCTGTAATACAAATTTGTGAAAAATCATATCTTGACCTGTCAGACTGAACTTAAGACAAAAAGATAGGAGGTTTCTGTAATACGGCCCCAGATGCCTGTGCACAAAACTGCATTAAGGCTCTAAAACAAAACACTTTTTCTCACTGGATATTTCCAAATATGTTGTCTCATAGTCAATCAGAACAGAGGTAATTTATCTTGTATCAGTCTTAAAGGTACAGTAACAGCCTGTTTAATTCTTAGGCATAAAGAGAGGTTGGAAAATACCATGTAATAATGAATTAACCACACAAATGTTATAAGTGGATCTCAAGGGAAAAAATAAAATTTGATAAAAATGTACAACATGGGCCCTTTAACCTCACGTCCACTCCGTCCTTAAGAGTGTCCCTTAAGTTTTCCCTCTCATTACTATTTTTCCCATTTTAGAATATTTCATAACTAGTGTTCTATTATTCTACAACCTGAAAGAAACAGTAAAAAATTTAGGAAAGCACTTATATTACTAGCTGTGTCCAAATTGTTTTGACAGGCGCTGTCTCTTCGAGTCGTCACGGTCTACAGGACTGCAGTCATATCGTTACTCTTCCTGCCTCTCTTCCCTTCCTCTGCCAGTCAAACTTAATCAGCGCCTCAGCGCACAGTTACACGGGCAGTAAGCCAGCGGAGCTCGGCTGATGCAGGCTTTCCCTGCGCTCATTCTTCCCTTGTGTGAGCCGAAGATAATCGCTTGTGTGGCTGGAAGCGTAATTTTCAAAGAGGCAGCGGTACCTTCCGACACTCGATACGAGGCTCTTTTGAAACGCCATTACCTCAGATATTACGTAACCGAGCAGAATAGAGGAAGCTGGTCAGAGTAGGAGTGGGAAGCACTTGTGCTAGTAGAGTTTTTAGCATCAGTGAAATTCAGCTGTGAACACTGGAGGCCTCAGATTGCATTTATAGATAGAGAGCTAGATAGATAGACAGATAGATAGAACTGTATTGATCCCAAAGGGAAATTGCAGTGTTTCAGTAGCAGCACATATAATTGCACATAAACTTACATATCGCTGTTGTAGGAAGAAAACCTCGTATCTCCAAAATGGTAACTTTACAGGAGAAGGAAAAAACCTCCTTTACTTTTAATGTAAGTCAAAGGAACCAGACGTTTTCCCAAGTGATTATTGGCCGTTGCTTTTGGTCCATTCATCATGAAATTTACATACAATGTAAAGGCCAACAAGTATTTTCAAATAAAAAAAAACTGAAAAATGTCACAAATGGAGATATGAGGTTTTCTTCTCTATTTGCATATTTACATAGCATATAAGACAGATTTGTTGTATTTACATGAGAGCAGGTCAGGCCAGTGAGTATAGACATAACTAGGAGTTGCAGCAGTATTACAGTGTAAAGTGAGCAGTGAGAGTCATTACAGTAGCAGTTATGATATATTGCACAGTGTGTATTAATCAGAGAGGAGATACAGTGATGTGGTTCAGCTCAGTTCAGACAGCAGGAGATCAGTACCGTCTCTGCAGTAAGGAGACTCGCTGTAGAGCCGTATATCAGTGGGTAAGAAAGATCTCACACGGTGCTCTTTAACACAGCGCAGCTGTAACAGTCTGACCTGAATGGGCTTCTCTGTTTATCCAGTGTAGCATGCAGGAGGTGTGAGGTGTTGTCCAAGATGGCTAACAGCTTGTTGAGTGTCCTTAGTTCTGCCACAACCTCCAAAGAGTCCAGCTTGACTCCAACAGCAGAGCCAGCCTTCCTAATAAGTTTGTTTATTTTGTTCAGAGCACTTTTGTTAATGCTGCTGCCCAGAACACAACAGCACAGAGTAAAGCATTCACTACAGCAGACTGGTAGAATGAAGCACTCGCTATAGCAGACTGGTGGAACGTCCATAGGAGCTTAGTGTTCACACCAAAAGACCTCAGCCTCCTCAGGAAGTAGAGACGGCTTTGGCCTCTCTTGTACACTGGGAGAGTGTTACAGCTCCAGTCCAGCTTGTTGTCCAAGTGCACACCCAGATACTTGTAGGTCCCGACCACCTCCACATCAACTCCATCAGTGGTGACTGGTGAGAAGGCAGGTTTGGACTTCCTAAAGTCCAGATCTCCTTAGTCTTATTAGGCGTTTGGGATCAGGCCAAGGAATTCATGTGAAACAGTTGACGTCGTGTGATCTGTGGACTAAACTACAGATTTGTCTGTTTTCCTTCAGGTGTATGAGCATCAGGACGGAAGCAAGTCTCTAAAGCTGGGAGACTTTGGCTTGGCAACAGTGGTGGACGGACCGCTGTACACTGTCTGTGGAACACCCACATATGTAGCACCTGAAATCATTGCAGAGACTGGGTGAGAACTCACTGAAAATACATAAATAATCCCAGCGTTAAAGCATAACATGTTACTTGTGTGTATTTAGGCTTGGTTTCACAATTGTATACAGTATCAGTCATTTATTGCATTGTTTTAGACTGTATTTTGTTACCTTTACTAAAAGAGCATTATTGTCTGATTTAGACTAAACTCTTATTCCTATCTTGCTGTAGTTATGGCCTTAAAGTGGATATTTGGGCAGCCGGAGTCATCACGTACATCCTACTGTGTGGATTCCCACCATTTCGCGGGTATGTTTATAAGCTGTTGTTCCATTATTCATTTCTAAATATTATTCACTCCAAGATAGACTGGTCTTTTTTTTTCAACTCAAGCCATTTAACATACAGTGGGTCCAAAAGACTGAGACCACATTGGACATGTGGCGTTTTCTTTTATTTAAACCTGGAAATAAACAATAGAAAGTTTGAAAATGAGGAATTAGTCCAACAGTCTGCAGTATTTCTATGTCACTATTCAAATTAAAGCAACAAAAGTGACATTAGCCATGCTAAAGTCTTTGTACAAAAAGGTCAGATTTTTATGTGTCTTATCTCTTCTATTGAAGCTCGTATTCAGAAGACTCTCAGGTAGATTAGATCTACTCATCAGAGGCTTTTGCCCAAACGTCTGGAGTCCATGCCAGCTTGAGTGAACACTGTCATTAAATCTAAAAAGGAACATACTAAATACTAACGGAATAAGAAATTCTGAAATAAAATGAAAAAGTATTACAGTAGAAAATAATGCACAGTTGAAGCATTTTTACTAGTGGTCTCAGACTTTGGACCCCTGGGAACATTGTGGCTATTGTATTGTGTGTGAATTGCATAAGTGCAATATTTAGTTCCATTATGCAGTAATGCACATATTTAAACCTGTCCAAACAATTTTCTGGACACAGCAGGAAAAAGGGGCATTGCTGCTGCTGCTTTTAGATCGTATTTGGTAGATCCGGATCCAGATTGAGTGTCAGTTGATTTGTAGGCCCTCTCTTTCACTCCTTATGCAAACACTGGGATTATGATGTGTGAAGTGCGCTAGCCAGTGTAGGAAGTGCAATATACATTACTTATGTAAGAGAGCAGGGCCAACAGGGCCCCCATGTGGTAACTGGAGGAACTACGCTTAGATCAACCTGTCTTCAAGCTCACTTGAATTTGCTTACGTACCATTTCTTAATTTTCCTTTCTCAATGTGATTTGGTACGTTTCATCTTTCCCACAGGAGCACGGAGGACCAGGAGGCTCTGTTTGACCAGATTCTGCTCGGTCAGTTAGAATTCCCTCTCCCATACTGGGACAATGTGTCAGACTCAGCAAAGGTGAGTGAAAATGATGGATATCGCTGCTGTCAGAAGAAAACCTTGTATCTCCAAAATGGTAACTTTACAGGAAAAGGAAAAAACATACTTTACTTTTAATGTAAGTCAATGGAACCAGACGTTTTTTTCCAAGTAATTTTGGGCCGTTTCTTTAGGTCCATTTATCATGAAATGGACATACAATGTAAAGAGCAACAAGTATTTTCAAATTATATCAAAAACAGAAAAACGACAAAAATGGAGATATGAGGTTTTCTTCCGACAGCAGCGATATGCTGTATTCTTACATATATATATATATTTATATATATATATATATATATATATATATATACATGATAAATGTGAATTCTTTTTGGAGGTGCAAATAAACACCTCTGAAGTCATTTGGGTCAGCACTAACACTTTCTGTGTCTTTGTCCTGTGTGTGTGCTTGCAGGAGCTGATCACATCCATGCTGCAGGTGGAAGTGGATCAGAGATACACAGCTTTGCAAGTGCTGGAACATCCCTGGGTCACTGTGAGTACTCGCACTCTGTATAAAAACACAGCTATGACCTTCTCATAACTCTAAATTGTGTTTAGATTGATCAGTGCTACCTTAATCCGTTCACATGTCGGATTGAAATCAATTCTGAGTTGATTGATAGGTTTTTTGTTTCGATCACAGACATACAGTATATATAGCGACCTAAAATGTATACAGCATCTTGAAAAGCCTAGAAAATAGTAATAGTGACTTGCTGATTAACTGGATCATAAACTAGTTGTACTAGTAATTTTATCAGTATCTTTCAATGACATAAGAGTGACTCATTGTGGAAAAAATACATATACCTTTTTCTTAATGTAATTAATGACGCAGAATGACGGCCTGTCGGAGAATGAGCACCAGCTGTCAGTAGCAGGAAAGATCAAGAAGCACTTTAACACTGGCCCCAAGCCCAGCTGCACCACGCCGGGAGTGAATGTCATCACGGTAAGCTGTGATCTGCTGCCAGATCGCTTTGTTTAGCACACTAGTGTCCTCCAGTCGGTCCTATAGAAAGACGGCTCTGTAAATGCGTGAATTAGACCAGAGGCTTTATCAGAGATGAAGAGCAGATTAATGTCTCATAATGCTGGAACAGGGATTTACAGATTCAGATGGATTAGGGCTTGAATTTATAGTGTTTTCCCCAATCTAATGTCAGCCCCTTCAGCTTGGGCTTGTTAAATGGCTGATTAATGGAATGCCTTGGCACCAAAATATGCAGGTCAGGGTTGCTCCAGGATCAGGGTCCCCTGGAAAGGACTGTGCAGCATAGTTTTTTGCTACACTACTAGAGTCTGTGATGTTGCACTGGACCAGGTTCTGCGTGTGCTGAAAATCAGCCGCATGAATATACAGCAACTACAGTTACATCAAAGTTAAGGCCGAGCCTTGTGGTCATCATCAGTTTGGGGGGGTGTTTATTTACATTAAGGCCCAATCCCAGTTCTTCTTTTTACCCCTACCCCTTGTTTTCAGGTGTCACCCTAACTGAGTTACAAGGGGTAATCGTTGAAATCTTGCCCTACGAAACGAGTCAACCCTCAAATAAAAAAAAATATATATATATATATATATATATTACTTCATTAACAGCTACCAGCGCTGCTCTGTAGACGACCCTGCCAGTCTGCAGTGATAGCAGAGGAGGGTAAAGTTCAGCTCCTCACTGCTGGGCTTTAGTTACATTTAGGGCATCATATGACTTCAAAGAGGGGGGCAATTATTTATTATCACCACCCCTAATTCTTCAGTGATATGAAGCTGAAGTCAGATATTCACCAGCTTCTTGTTTGAATTTTCTGTTCCACCTTAAATGGAGCAGCAGTTACATTCTGGTGCTTCAGGCGTCAGAACTGCCAGACTATTTAAGGTGGAACGGGAAAGTTAGCTAGCTAGCTAGCGAAACTAACCCTAGCATGCTAGTAGTGATTTTTTATGCTTGTTATGAAGAAAACGACCAAAATACACTGAAACAACATTAAACTAAGAAAATACAATGATTATTGTAATTTTTTAATGGAGAAAATTCTCACATTTGTGTGTTTCTTTGGTCTCTTGTTCAGCCATCGTGCCAGTTTTTCTTTTTCTCTCATATCACTCTGTGTGAAGTCTCTGAAAAACCTCTGTTTGGAGGGCCATGTAGCCCCAACACTTCGCCCCTACCCCTCTATCTCAACAAAAATTGGGACGCCCTACCCCTAGACGTGAACGCACAAAACAGAGGGCTAAGGGCTCAGTGGTAGGGGCGAGGGGTGAAATGGGACTGGGCCTAAGTATCCCTGTTTTCTCTCTACTCAGCTCGACCATGACTTCTGCATCCAGAGATCAGGGTCGTTGGACTTCTACCAGCATCCGGGCATGTACTGGATAAGGTAAAGCCACATCTCCTCTGCTGCCACTAACGGCACAGCCGCCACTGCTCCTCTGTGTGAACGGCTCTCATACTGAATGTTTTTTTCATGTCTTTCATGTGCACTTCAGGTTCACTTACTGGTTATGTCTTTTTAAAGCATGTCACATTCATGATGCTGCTGTTTCTCTCATTTCTTCCCCCTGTGATATCGAGTTTCAGTCACTTCCAAAGCAATTGGCTGCTGTCATCACATCCCATCCCTTCCCTTCCTTCGTCTGATGTAGTTGGCTTAAAGGAGAACTGCTCTAGTTTCTTTGGATTTCCACGTATCAGAAATGTGATATATAGTGGCTTCTTCATCATAGAATTAAAGTGATAGTTCTGCAAAAAATCGAACTTACTTCATTTTCCACTTTATCCAGATGAAGTTATCAACACGTTTGGTGTCCAAAGTCTGCTTCTTTTGTTTTCGTCCTGCAGCTTGCAGTGTGAATTAGTGTGGCTGCATTAGCCTCATAGTTCCAGCACCAAACTAAAGCAGCAAACTCCAGAAACCAAACATGTCTTAGCTGATTGGCTGCATTTAGCATTATTTGTACGTTATTGTTGATAAATTCATAACATTTTAATGTTTTCATTAGACCTCACTTCATGGGTAAAACGGGAAAGTTCTCCTCAAACATCAGTACCTCATCAGTATCATACCGTGCTGGCTAAAATTCCCTCTTTCTCTCCTCCAGACCACCGCTCTTGATAAGGCGAGGCCGGTTTTCGGACGAGGATGCCACCCGAATGTGAGCGCGGCGCCACGGATTACCCAGCCATCCTGTAGCCTCCCCACCCTGTTCCCGGCCCCCAGCCTCTGCTCCGCTCTCCAGCTGTTCCCTCCTTTACCCCGGCTGCTGCCCTGCACTCTCCCCAGCCCCGGCCACCTCCACGCCTGAGTCTGAAGACTTTTCTGCCTGCTCCACTCAGACTGTCCGCTCCCCCAGCTCCCACGTCCAGAGCCGGTGGGAAAGGGACGCAGAAGGAGAAAAGAAGGGTTTATGAGGATTCAGAACGCGGCAGAGTGGAAGGACAGGACTGAAGCTGTTCTGTAATTGAAGCGCGACGGTGTAGGTGTCGTCTCCCACCTGCAAAACGTGAACATAGTTTGTCAGGACTGGGGGGAATCCTTTGAATTATTTCACTCCATTGTAATAGTTTTCTTATTTATTTATACACATTGTATGCATTTTTATTAATTAACTTTAGACAGAGGTTTTTTTCCGTTGATGGAAGCCTTCCTCAGGCTCCTCCACCTTGATTTTATTTATCTCCGGGTCCAGTCTTGGTGAATGTTCCAGCCAGTTTTGTGGATGGAGCAGCTAATTGGCAGGTAGTTGATTATCGATTAGCTAGTCGTTTTCAATTTGTGCTTGCTTGAAGCAGCTGCAGTCCGCTTCTTTTGTGCAGAGGCATCTGATCTGAAAGTGCAGTCCAGAAAACTGAGAGCCTTTCGTGTCGGCCGCGTGAAAACCTCTCTGAGCCCCCTCGCAATAAATGCCCCCTCATCGTTTCAGTGGTAAGCTCCCTCTCTCAGCACTTTGCTCTCCTTCCCACTCAAACTGCAGCTGAAGGTGCTATCTGGCACAGAGAGCATACTCACGCATAAGATGGGGACCGTTTTTTTTGTAATCAGTGTAAATAATATGATTTCAATTATTTTGATATTGACAATATATTTCTTTAACTTAACTAGAGAACATAGCAATCGCATACGTCATTGTTCAGCTGTATGTAAGTGTAAGGAGCATAAGCACAAAGGCAGTGACGTTGTGGGAAAGATTTCTTTGACTGAGCTTGTGTCCAAGAAATCAGCGGATTACAGTGTGTGACGGGTTGTGTGCGAGAGATCCGTAAGACAATGCAGTGCTCAGACGCTCCACTGTACAGTGGAGAGTTTCAGACTGAAATTCAGGGTTTGAATTGAGACCTCACTGATGAAGTGTAGCAGGGACTAGTGCCCCAATGATATCAGTTAACCCTTACAAAATTGGCTGCTATTACAGCTTCCACAAACTTGTCAGTATCAGCAAAAATCTTGCAGTCAGAACACCGAAACATAGAAATGTGTAACATTGAGGATAATTTTAGCGTAAGCTTCACAGAACCTTTCAGTGACAGTTGCTGAAAAATAATACCAACATAATAGATAGGGATTCTGGAAAACTCTGCCTTGGGGCTGCATTATTTGTAAATTAAAGACGATGAGTTTCTGCTGTTTATTTGAGTTTAAGAAATTCGATAGTTGCTAATGACTGACAGTTTCATCATATAACATTTTATTGGCTGATAACAGTTATCAGATTTTTTAGTTCCTCAAAACCAGTAACTGTATAAGTGACAGGTTTCATGTCGCTTGGGCCCTAGTAGGGACAGACGTAATGCACCTCTCGACGCTCCTGCTTACTCTCATCGTGAGGTAGTGGGTTGTTCACAATGCAATACCATTATAACATCACTGTTTATTCCAGTATTCACATATTTCAAAACTGTACCACAAACTGATTTCTTTTTCGATTGATTAGAATCTCAGAGACTTTGGAAAATGGAAGGTGAAGACTGCAAGTGCTATGAACCACAGACGAATGCTACAGTGACTTAAACAGATGAGCAACGGTCAATGAACGTATTAAATGCGTATGTTTATCTGCAAATATTTAACCTGCATTTGCTCCAGAACTGACAGTGACACAGCTTTAAGGATTCACCCTAACTGCTTCTGCTCATTCAACATACTAAAAAAAAACAAAACTACCAAACCAAGTTTTGTGGACTTCCACAGGCATTGCTAGACCGGTTTCACTTGTATTTACATAATTTGCACCACTATTATCTGCCATGATGCATATTACCCGGCATTATGGAAATCAACTTTATTGTGTGCCTGGTTTGGGCCAACTGTCACACCGAAGCAAATAAAGTCTTGTAAAATAATCATGAAATGTGTGGTTTATGTGTCACGAGCTACACTATGTAAATTTTGTGAATTTGGAGACCTCTCTGGTGGAAATGTGCAATTGCATGCAAACTGTGGAAGAACTTTTTGTGATGTTGGTTGTTCTTCTGAGCCATAGATATACACACCTAGATGCCACGTTGGGTCCAGCCAGGCACATCAATGGCACCGCCATTTTGGGGAGGTCAACATCGCTGCTGGACTGCAATCAGTACCATTACAGAGCGTCAGTTTAAGAAAGATACTGTCCAAAATTACACTATTTCAGGAATATTACACTCAGACAGTGAGATAGGATTATATAATGGAGGGAACGCAGTGATCCACACTCATGTCTGTGTGATGCGTATTGTCTGTGTGATGTTTGTGTAGATATGGTCGTGTGGTTAATGAGGCACAGAGAACCTGTTGATGTGATTGTTTTTCCTCTGGTTTTATATTAAGCTTATTTCATTTGGTAGTCTATTCAGTGGATCTTACAGAGCCCCTCTGGTGACATCCTGTATAAATAAAAATAATGCATGGCCACAACTTAGTAAGGTGTGGGAATAAGATCCTAATGTGTGGCCATGACTTAGTAAGCCATGATCTCGTTCCCACGCCTTACTAAGTCGTGGCCACGCATTAGGATCTCGTTCCCATGCGTTAATAAGGCGTGGTCACGCATTATTTTTTATTTATACAGGATGTCATCATCAGGGCTTCGTAGGATCTTAACTTTATGTAGTAGTTATTTATTTATAATGATGGTTAAAGCATTGTAGCTCGGTAAATTATAGCATTCCTTAATCCGTGTAGATATTCATAGGAGACTAACGTCAGCAACTTGTTGTGCCAGCTTCGTGTCGAGTTTTCCCGTTCCACCTTAAATGGTGCAGCTTCAGGCACCAGAAAGTGACTGCTGCACCATTTAAGGTGGAACGGGAAAACTCGACACGAAGCTTGCGAATAGAAGCCAACTTTAGCTTCGTCCTTCTTACTGTGTTTCGGGTGGGTTACTTTATTTTTATGTGTATTAAGATTAGAAGTGATTCACACATTGATGGATTTGCTGATGTGTCTGTGTTTCTCGCGCCAAACTCGGTTTTTAATCAGGTGCAGACTGAATACTTTCCTACTGGTCTGGACGGCTAATTATCACGATCAGTTATTAAAATAGTAAAAGCTACCGAGAGCAGATCCGTGCAGCCTGGATTAATCTGTGTTTGAGGATTATAACTAAACAGATTTGGGGAAAATCGGTTGAGTAATAAGAAAGTTGTGGCCGATTTAATCCTGAGAACTCATCATCTTGACCGCTCCAACATGGCGGACGCGCAGACGTATCGCCTCAGACAACGGTGCATCTATTAATGTATATCTATGGTTGAGACGGCGTTATCTGACAACATTATAATAACGTAGTGGCAACGTTGTCACAACCTCCTACCCAGCGAGCAAGCGGCGTTGATAACAGGCCAGTCCGTCGGGCTCTGTTTCGGATGTCCGCAGCTGTTGTGAATTGGTCGCCAGCTGGAGTCGTAATAGGGCATCTTATAAACATATTATTAAAAGACACTAGTTGTGCGGTTATAATACTCAGAATGGCAAAGCATGTCTGTGCCAATAGGAAATGTAATGCTACACAAGTCCATCAGGCATAAGTTAGTTTTTTCTAACGAATCTTTTAATGATTTAAGTCATTTGGCGTCCTTTCATCTCGTTCCCTCTGAGGGAGAAGCAGTGCGGCGGCAGCGCCAGCAAGCGGTGAGTGAAGCTGTCTTTTAGTGAAAACGTTAGATAGAAAACATTAAATTACAATTAAATGTGTTATTCATCAGTTACTTGGTAGAGTTATGTAAGGCTTGGTTAACTTTAATCCAAATAGGAGAAATCACCTAACGTTAGCCAGCTAATCTGTGCTAGCCAGCTGCCCAACATTAGAGTTTGCTGGATGAGTCAACAACTCTGACGATTTTAAGTGTAAATTAGTTAAAATGGTTTCTTCATGAGCAACGAGGAGATTATCTAAGAATAAGTGCGTATGTATGGTGTAATTGGTGTTCAGTTACACTTTAAGGTTAAATGTTATTGGCGTAGCTACATAGCGTTAGCTTAGCAGACCAAAGTGTTAACCGCTAGCTAACGCCGTAGAGCACTGTAGTCGTGTCGTCATTCTGTAGTCCTCTTTATGCCCATATTAGGAATTCCGGCTCTGAGCTCCGTTTCTCTATGGCCAGAATGAATAGGGTTTTAGAAAAATCGCCTCTAGCGCCCCCTGTGTTCAATACAAATGTTCAGAACCCGATTCGTTCTGTCCTGTGAACATTCCTCTCCCGAACATCACTGGATCCTCTGAGTTACGAGATTGTTAAAGAGCTGAAATATGAATATTGCTCCATGTGAGCTGAAGCTACTGCGCTCTGAATTCCCGTCATTAGACTGGCGGCCTCCTTAAGCGGGTTTAGGCAGCGTACATTTCCATGTTCAGCCTGAGGGGAAATGAAAAGGAGTCCGAACAAAATCAGCAGGTTTCCCTGCAGCTCTCTGTTCTTCACCTGATGCTCAGTGAAACCCGATAGATCTCTCCTTTTAGCTGGGTTTGAAAAGCTCTACAAACGAACCTGAACTCGGGCTGATTCGGTACCGACTCGGCTTAATGATCCCTGCTCACCCTGATAAACTGATTTAGGCTCTCAGAATGTCCTCATTATTATTTTAATGCTTTTCTCAGGACATTCGCCAGCTTTTTGTTCGACTTTTCCCGCTCCACCTTAAATGGTGCCGCGGTCACGTTCTGAACTGCTGCGCCATTTAAGGTGGAACGGGGAAATTGGAACAAGCAGCCGGAGAAAAAGAAGCTGAGTTCAGCTTCATGGAGGGTTGAAAGGCCTGATATGAGGAGGTTTCTCTCACACTTATTTACTCATTTTTGCTGTTTGACCGAACTAACAGGTCAGTGTTTTGTCTCGTTTGCTGATGTTTGTGATGGCCAGTCACAGCTGCGGCACCATTTAAGGTGGAACGGGAACATTCAAACAAGAAGCTGCGAAAAAAGAAGCTAAATTCAGCCTCGTAGTTTAACACGGGTAGTGTAAGGAGTTTTAGCCTCAGAATATCCCACCTAGAGGTTTTATTCACAGGTATTTCTGTAAATATGCGCTACAGTAGAACATTTCGATAAGGTAGCTCACAGCCCGCTTTAGCTTAGTGTAGCTTAGTGACCCGATATTGATGCGCAGTAGCTTTAGCTCACATGTAGCAATATTAGTATTATAGCTCTTTAACGACCTCGTAACTCAGAGGATCCAGTGATGTTCGGGAGAAGAATGTTCACAGGACAGAACGTATCGGGTTCTGAACATTTGTATTCAACACAGGGGGCGCTAGAGGCGATTTTTTCGAGAACCCTATTCATTCTGGCCATAGAGAAATGGAGCTCAGACCCGGAATTCCTAATATGGGCATAACGAGGACTACAGAATGACGCAGGACTGCAGTGGTCTACAGATGGCTAATGCTACCTTTACTTCTAATCCGGACTCCCTGAAGACTAGCTTTAAGTGTTATAAGCAGTTTGCTTTAGTGTTTTGTTCTTTGAGAGCTTTATCAGAGATAAATGTCTGCAATGTCTTCCGGTTTTGTCAAACGCTAGAGGGCGCTCCCGAGTGAGTCCAAAATGAATGGGTTGATTTGGAGCCTTTGAGCAAAATCATAGTTTATAAATGCTGAAATGTTTTTAATGTAAAAGAATGAAATCATTTCCTGAACACAGAACAGCATAAAACATTTTAACACTGCTGTTATGTTTTTAAGAGCTTTTAAACTCGAGTTATAGGAGTTTAAAACGGCGCCTCATGTATGTTCATGACGTCAATGAGCTGCTCCGCTCGCCAACCAATCATCACGTTCTAGCAGTAAAGCCCGCCTTCTGCTGCCCAAAACCCATTTGCTGTAGAAAAAAGGAAATATACAGGTGAGATTTCTTTGCTTTTTTAGTGAAATACATCCTGCTTTCTAAAATTAAAGGAAAGTTCTGGGCGTGGCCAGGCTCCTCATAAACCGGCTCTGGCTTTATCTTGTGTAGGTAGCTTAGCGAGTGCAATAACTAGTCAAGAAACTGCCCACGGATTTGTAAACTGTACTCTCAGTTAGCAAAACTGTACTGATGGATTTATAAACTGTAAAGCACCAGCTGCCTCCCACAGCTACAGTACAGGAAACATTTCAGAGATATTTTGAGAAACTGGAGAATTTTGTGACATTTCTGAATGAGGGCAGGCAACTGGACAACACAACCGTGTCAACCTTTCATGATGAAAAGACAAATATAAGCAAGTAACGTTAACGTGACATAAAGCGGACATTACTAGAAAGTAGGTAGGATATTGTGCTGTATCTTTCACACACAGCGTTTTCAACGGCTTTAACATTTCTTTAAATTACAGTTTAACCTCACTGAATTGGAGTGTTTTGTAGAAGTGTAGTATGTGAATGCACTTGTTTAAAACGAGGCAAACATAATCTCGTTTTTGCCTATATCATCCCACCACGCGGCCAGCGACGGCTGAATGGAGTTTCAGCCCAGAGAGCACATCGCATGTTAAAAGGAATAACGTTAAACCCTGACTGTGCATGAATTGCTGGATATTTATAGCCCAGTGAACAATCAACATTAAAATCACATGCATGAGCTTCATTTCAGTACAGTAGTTTACAAATCTGTCGGTACAGTTTTGAAAACCCGAGAGTACAGTTTATAGTACAGTTTACAAACCCGTCTGTACAGTTTTACTAATCAAGTGTACAGTTTACAAGTCCGTCGGTACAGTTTTGCTAATCGACTGTACAGTTGAATGAATTCACATGAATTGCTGGATATTTATAGCCCAGTGAACAATCGACATTAAAATCACATGCATGAGCTTCATTTCAGTACAGTAGTTTACGAATCCGTCAGTACAGTTTTATTAATCGAGTGTACAGTTTACAAATCTGTCTG